GGCACAGGTGAGGGGGCCCTGGTCGCTGCCTTCCCAGCATCCTTTCCACCTCCGCCTGTGTTGTGTGGCAGCCAATTGGCCTGAGCAGTCCCATTCCGTCTCTAGCCTAGTCACAGAAACTGGCTCTGGTGAGTTGGGACTAAGAAATATTGTATGAGTGACTGCTAATGGGTACCATGTTCTTTTGGGTGAGGAATGTTCTAAAAGTTGATTGTGGTGATGGTTGCACAATTCTGTGAATATACTAAAATCTATTGAATTGTACACTTTAATTGGGTGAATTGTACGGTATGTAAAGTATATCTCAATAAAGCTATTATTACACAAAGAAGGCCAGGCAATGTAGCTTATGTCTGTAATCCCAGCACTTTGGGAGGCCAAGGTGGGAGGATCACTTGAGCCCAGCCAGGGTAACACAGTGGGACCCCGTTGCCACAAAAAGTTTAAAAAATTAGCTGGGTGTGATGGCACATGCCTGTAGTCCTAGCTATTCAGGAGGCTGAGGCTGAGGTGGGAGGATTGCTTGAACCTGGGATGTTGAGGCTGCAGTGAGCTGTGATCATACCACTGAACTCCTGGGTGATAGAGACACTCTCAAAAAAAAAAAAAAAAAAAAAGAAAAGAAAAGAAAGAAAAAAACACTCCATGCCATATGCCATCAAGGAAATGCAAATTAAAACAGTAATGTGATGTCAATACACACGTACTAGAATAGCCAAAATCTGGAACACTGACAACACCGAGTGCTGTCCACGATGTGGAACGGGAACTCTCATTCATTGCTGCTGGGAATGCAAAACCGTGCAGCTAAGTAGGAAGACAGTTTGCTCTTATTACATGATCAAGCAATCATGCTCCTTGATATTTATCCAGAGGAAGTGAAAATTTGTCTATAGAAACACCTGTTCACAAATGTTTATAGAAGCTTTATTATTATTATTACTTTTGAGATGGGAGTCTCACTCTGTCTCCCAGGCTGAAGTGCAGTGGCACAAACTCGGCTCACTGCAACCTCCACCCCCCCAGTTAAGTGATTCTCCCGCCTCAGCCTCCTGAGTAGCTGGGATTACAGGGGCGTGCCACCATGCCTGGCTAATTTTTGTATTTTTAGTAGAGACAGAGTTTCACCATGTTGGCCAGGCTGGTCTCGAACTCCTGACCTGAGGTGATCCACCTGGCTTGGCCTTCCAAAGCAATGGGATTACAGGCATGAGCCACCACGCCCAGCCTAGAAGCTTTATTCTATTGAATGTTCACAACACAAAGAAATGATAGATGTTTGAGATGATATGTATGCTCATGATCCTGATCTGATCACTATGCATTATATGTATTGAAACGTCACTATGTACCCCATGAGCATGTAAAATGTCAATTAAATAAATAAACTAAAATAAAATAAAACTTTTATTTGTAATTGCCTAAACTTGGAAGCAACTATGATGTCTTTCAACAGGTGGATGGATACACTGTGGTACATCCAGACAACAGAATATTATTCAGTGCTAAAATGAAATGAGCTATTACACCAGGAAAAGGCAGGAAGAACCTTAAATACACATTCCTAAGTGAAGGAAGGCAATCTGAAAAAGCTCTCTACTATATGATTCCTACGATGTGACAATGTGGAAAAGGCAAAACTGTGAAGACAGTACAAAGATCAGTGTTTGCCAAGGGTTAGTGAGGAGGAAGTGGTGAGTAGGCAGAGCACAGAGGGTTTTTAGGGCAGTGAAACTATTCTATATGATAATGATAGATGCATGCCATATACATTTGTCAAAAGCTATAGAATAGGCTGGGCACAGTGGCTCACACCCATAATCCCAGCATTTTGGGAGGTCAAGGTAGGTGGATCACCTGAGGTCAGGAGTTCGAGACCAGCCTGGCCAACATAATGAAACCCTGACTCTACCAAAAACATTTTTAAAATTAGCCAGGTGTGGTGGCACATGCCGGTAATCCCAGCTACTCAGAAGGCTGAGGCAGGAGAATCGCTTGAACTTCGGAGGTGGAGGATGCAGTGAGCTGAGATCATGCCACTGTAGCCCAGCCTAGGTGACAGAGTGGAACTCCATCTCAAACAACAACAACAACAAAACAACCCTATAGAATATGTTTATTTATTTAATTTATATGATTTTTTTTGAGACAGGGTCTTGCTCTGTCACCCAGGCTGGGATGCAGTGACGCAATCTCAGCTCATGCAACCTCTGCTTCCCCGGTTCAAGCAATCCTCCTACTTCAGCCTCCTGAGTAGCTGGGATCACAGGTACGCTACCATACCCAGCTAATTTTCGTATTTTTTGTAGATACAGGATTTTGTCATGTTGGCCAGGCTGGTCTCAAACTCCTGAGCTCAAGTAATCTGCCCACCTTGACCTCCCAAAGTGCTGGGATTACAAGTGTGAGCCACCCCACCTGGCCAAAAAACTATAGAGTTTAGGAATCCTAATGTAACCTACCGACTTTGAATGACATTGAGGTCTCAGTGTGCTTTCACTGACCATAACAAATGTACTGGCTGGTGTAGGATGATGATGGTGGGGGAAGCTGTGTGTGCTATTGGGGACAGGGGGTTATGAGAACTCTCTGCACTTGCCACTCGATTTTGCTGTGAACCTAAACTGATCTAAAAAAAAAAAAAGAAGAAGAAAATCTATTAAAAGTGGTTAAAATGGTTAAATTTTGTTATGTCCATGTTATGATAATAAAAAAGAATGTTCAGGCCAGGTACAGTGCTTCACACCGTAAATCCCAGCACTTTGGGAGGCTGAGGAGGGTGGCTCATCTCTACTAAAAATACAAAAATTAGCTGGGGTGGTGGCGCATGCCTGTAGTCCCAGCTACTCGGGAGGCTGAGGCAGGAGAACGCTTGAACTTGGGAGGCAGAGGTTGCGGTGAGCCAAGATCTTGCCACAGCACTCCAACCTGGGCAGATAATTTTGTTGTATTTTTAGTAGACATGGGATTTCAGCATGTTGCCCAGGCTGGTCTTGAACTCCTGACCTCAGGTGATCTGCTGGCCTCAGCCTCCCAAAGTGCTGGGATTACAAGCATGAGCCACCATGCCTGGCCTCTATGTCAATTTTTAAAATAGGTGTTTATATATACATATACATACATATACATGATTGCACATTCCTGTACACACATTCACATATGCATATACATACCACTCCGGAATGAGGATACACTTAATTCTGGAGCGTTCTAATTCTGGTTCTGCTACTCACTAGGTTTATGACTCTAAATAGGTTCCTGTACTCACCGAGCCTCAGCTTCCTTGTCTGTAAAATGGGGATAATAGTATCTTAGTCAACAAAGATATATGTCAGTGCTGGCTGGCAGCACACGTTGATTCAGTGGTTGCTGGTAAATATTCTTCTTGCTGCTGCTCCCTTTGGTGACTGATCCTAGAGTGTCTGCAAGGAGTAGGGGGTCCATGGAGAGGGCCAATCTAAACTGATAAGCAGGCTGGGCTCGGTGGTCTCAGTTCTAGACTGGCCAACATGGAGAAACCCCGTCTCTACTAAAAATACAAAAATTAGCTGGGTGTGGTGGCGCATGCCTGTGATCCCAGCTACTCAGGAGGCTGAGGCAGGAGAATGGCTTGAACCCGGGAGGCGGAGGTTGCCATGAGCTGAGATTTCGCCACTGTAGTCCAGGCTGGGTGAAAAGCCATCTCAATAAATAAATAAATAAATAAATAAACGAACTGATAAGCAGAACACACTCATCTTGCAAACTGCTGCAAAGGGAGAGCGGGTGAGGGTAGGGTGGGGTGGGGTGCTGTACGTGCCAGGCTTGTCTGGTGGCTGGATGGGGAGCTAACCTGCCCTGGGCCTCCTGGGGAAAAAGGGCAATTGCGGGGGTCATGAACACTGAGCTGGGAAATGGATCCTTTCTTAGATAGCAGGGCCTCTCGCCATCACTGGGCAATCAAGACGACTGTAAAACACCTGCTCAGGCGGGCAGTTCCGGGCTGGGGAGCTGGCCCCCGAGGTCGACGAGGGTCGCTGACGGGTGAATCTCCTTCCTGGGGAAGCCTCGGAGCTTCAGGAGGCCCAGCTGGATTCCAGCAGAGTCAGTGAGAAAATGCCAACGAGCACAACGAAACCCCAAATCCTACATCATCCCACCGCTCCCAGAAGCCCTGCGGTGACCAACTGGGGAACTCAAGCGGGCAGGTTGTTCGGTTCGAACCCTGTCTTTGTCCCTTGGTGGAGGTGTGACCTGCGGCGGGTCCCGGTGCCTCTCTGGGTCTCAGTTTCCCCATCTGTAACACGGTGGGGAACTGGAATAGTACCTAGCTCAAAGGTTTACTGCTGCTGGGATGCAAGGAGATGAGGTGGGTGGTCTGTCCTCGAGCAAAGGTCCGGGGAGAGAGGAGGCTCGGTCTGCGGGAGCTGCCATTTGTTGGCCGCAGTGAGGCCCCGCCCACCCGCGTCCCAGGGGACCACCACCGGAAGTAGCGCGAGTTGGGGCGTTTTAGCGGAGACACTACCGGGGCAATCTGAGGTAAACGAAGAGACTGTGGCGGAAGGACCGGAAGCGCCAGGCAGGGACCCGGGGTAAATGCTACATCCAAACTCAAACGCACAGGGCTGGATGGTTGAAGCAGCGGCGGGACCTCTGAGCTCTTTTAAACTGTCTCAGCCTTCCTCGTGGGCTCGGCTGCTTCTCCACGACCTCCGAGCAGAAGAGGGGCCGGCGTTTACGTCAAAGGCCTTGGGGTTCCGAGTCCCTCCTGCTTCCCGTCCTGTGGAGGCGTGACCCATTTCAGCTGTCTGTCAAGTGGGGCCGTTAGTCCCTGCCTCGTGGTGGGAAAACCGGGAAGCTGCACCAGGAGGCCGCCGCTCCCACCCCGGCTCGGGAGCATGTCTCTCCGCAGACTGTTTCCTGGCGAGGTGCGCCTTCGTTCTTCTCCGCCCTGTGGAACATAGAGCGGCCCCTGGGCCTCCGGTTCCGCGTCTCCCGCGGTTGGAGGCGTGCCCGGAAGTGCCCCTAAGGCAGCCGGGAGGGCCGCGGGCGTTTCACTATGGCGACGGCGGGGGCTCCGCGGCGCTTCTGCCGCTGCGCCTGTTTCTGCACCGAGAACTTGTACGTGGCGCGCTATGGGTTGCACGTGCGCTTTCGGGGCGAGCAGCAGCTGCGCCGGGACTACGGCCCGGTGAGTGGCCGCTGTCGCCCCTCCGGAGCAGTGGGCAGAGAGAGGCAGTGGAGGAGGGAGGTCCGTCCCCAGGGTCGTTTGCTTTGCTCACGGCGCGCACCGCATCCTCAAATACAAGAGTGACGGCCTCTCTGTGCCTCAGTTTCCTCACTTCTCTGCGAGGTTGTGAGGCAGGAAAGGGTGCTTGGGACAGGGCCGGGCTCAGCACGCCGCCTCACAGCAGTGCCAGCCAGGAGCCCTGCCCTGAGCTTAACGAGGTTCCGCAGTTTATCCTCTCCATGATCCTTTGACATCAGGGCTCCTCTCCCCATTTTAAGCAGGGGAAACTGAGGCTTAAAGAGTGAAGGGGCTTCCTGGGGTCACACAGTCAGGCTCAGTGTTCTTTCTGCTTCCAGATCCTGCGCAGCCGAGGCTGTGTCAGCACCGAGGACTTCCAGCAGCTGTTAGCAGAGGTGCCGTCCCCTGCCCGTGCACAGCGCCTCCTCGTTAGATTTGTGTTAGCAGCTTGAGGGGTCTTCTAGCCTCAGTCCATGATCCCTGAAGGATCACTTAGGCCCTCCCTTTCCTCCTTCCTGTCCCCATTTGCTCCTCCACACCTGGGTCTTGGCAGCAGGAGAGAGAAGGGGAAATGTTAAGTTGCCTAGTCATGCCCCTCTGAACAGCTCTTTGAGATAAGCACAAGCACCACCCTCATTTTGGATTGAGAAGCTGAGGCTTAAAGAGGGATCACTTGCCCAAGCTTTTACAGCAGGAGCAGCCACGGCTTCCAGGCCCCTTGGCTCCCCGCATTCCCACATACCCTGAAGACTGGTGCCAGGGCTGCTGCTCTGCTCCCTCCTCCTTCCCCTGGAGTCAGGGGTGGGAAGCTTCCCAGCAGAGTCCTCAGCAGCCGTGGGAAAACAGAACTTGGCCATGACCTTTTCCCTCCCCTGTGTGGGCCCAGCTGGTTGAGGTACACCCAGGAGTTCTTATCCCAGCCAGGCTCAGGTTGGGGCAGCCTGAAACAGGACGGGTCTCCTAGAAGTCCCCTTCAGCTAACAGTCTGCAACTTGCAATCGACCCAGATAGATTCAGGAGTTTAGGCTAGACCTGGCTTCCAGGCTGGGCCCTGTCTGGCATTCCTGGGCTTCAGTGTCTTCATCTGTACAGTGGCCTCAGGAGGATGGGAGGCCCCACCTGATAACAACCCTGTGCCACCCCAGCTTGAGCAGGAGGTGGATCGGCGGCGGCGGCTGGGGCTGGAGTCAGCCGCTAGGAAAGCCCTCATTGCAAGTTCCTACCGCCTGGCACGGCCTGAGGTGTACGACTCACTGCAGGTACCAGCCAAGCAGGGTGCTTGAGGGCTGGGTACTGGAAGGAGGAGGTAGCGTCCAGGGCTGCGGGGCTGCCTGCCCCACAGCTGGTATGTTCTGCCCCTAGGATGCAGCTCTGGCTCCTGAGTTTCTGGCTGTGGCTGAGTATAGCGCATCCGCAGGCGCAGACCTCAAGGGCCTTCTCCAGCGGCTGGAGACAGTATCTGGTGAGGTCCTAACCCTGAGACCTGGCAGGACCGGGGGATGGTAGCCTGGAAAACCCAGGTGTGGGAGACTGGGGTGCCTCCAGCCACCATCTCTGCCTCCAAAAACCGAACCAGCAGGAGCTGGAAGGGTCAGTGGGACCAACCTGCCAGGAGAAGGACATCCACATTCATTCATTCATTCATTGATTCAATACCTGCCATGAACCTGGTATCTTCATTCCTTCCAGGCAGAGCACAGGAGTCAGCCTCCCCTGTTCCTCACCTTACTTCCTTTAGTAATCGCAACAGCCCTGAGAAGTGAGAGCCTCATCCCCATGACACAGGTGATGAAACTGAGGCTGTGGGCAGTGAACAAACGCCCAGACTCACACAGCTCACAGGAAGACTGAGGCCCAGGCTGGGCCAGCCCATGGCAGCATTCAGGCCAACAGACCGTCCCTCCTTCCACAGAGGAGAAGCGCATCTACCGGGTGCCAGTGTTCACGGCGCCCTTCTGCCAGGCTCTGCTGGAGGAGCTGGAGCACTTCGAGCAGTCTGACATGCCCAAGGGGAGGCCCAACACCATGAATACCTACGGGGTGGGTGAGGCCTGGCCAGCGGGCCAGGGGAGGGGCAGCTGCAGTCAGGAGGCAGTGTGGGAGGTGCTGCAGATGGGCTGCCTGCCCAGGCTGCGAAATAAGGTTACAGTGGGATTGAGGCAGAGCGGAACCCCGGGATTGCAGCCTCCCAGTTTTCCTGACCCTAGGAATTCCCTCCCAGGTGCTGCTGCACGAGCTCGGGCTGGACGAGCCACTGGTGACCCCACTGCGGGAGCGCTTCCTGCAGCCGCTGATGGCCCTGCTGTACCCTGACTGTGGCGGGGGCCAGCTCGACAGCCACCGGGCTTTTGTGGTCAAATACGCACTGGGCCAGGATCTCGAGCTGGGCTGCCACTATGATAATGCCGAGCTCACCCTCAATGTGGCCCTGGGCAAGGTCTTCACGGGGGGCGCCCTGTATTTCGGGGGCCTCTTCCAGGTGAGTGTGTGTCCCATGGGGCAGGGCCTGGGGCAGCTGTGATGGCCCAGGCCTTAGCCATGCCATCTGTAGGTACCCACAGCCCTGACGGAACCCCTGGAGGTGGAGCACGTGGTAGGCCAGGGCATCCTGCACCGGGGCGGCCAGCTTCACGGGGCCCGGCCCTTGGCCACTGGTGAGCGCTGGAACCTCGTCATCTGGCTCCGCGCCTCTGCTGTGCGCAACCGCCTCTGTCCCATGTGCTGCCGTGAGCCTGATCTGGTGGACGACGAGGGCTTCGGCGATGGCTTCACCCGAGAGGAGCCTGCCACAGTGGATGTGTGTGCACTCACCTGAGCCTACTTGGACCCAGTGTGGGGGTGGCAGGGCAGGTGAGGGCTCCATCACCCTGGGCTGGTGGCAGAAATTAGCTCCCTGCAGCCTGCTGTACTTCTTGGCTCAAGGCTGTGCCAGATTCTGGGTTATCCTCTGGGCAAACAGGCTGCTTTAGATCGGGTTTGTTGAAAGCGGAGTCTTTGGAATGAGGCTTCAGCGAGGGAGTGAGGAAAGCAGGGGAGGGCAGGGAGCACCTGGGCAAGGAAGTGGCTTCCGAGGACGTCCAGCCTCAGCTGGGCCCTCGGAGAGCTTCAGGCAGAGCCCGCAGTACTGCAGTGTGCCCACAGCATTGGTTAGTGGCTCCTGGATGAGGGAGGGATGAGTAACTTCCAGTGGCCAAGGGAAGCCTCCAGAGACAGCACAGTTGTGAATTATTGGCAGCAGAGGCATCACCCCCAGTGGACTCGGGTGGACCACCAGTAGCATCTTCTAGATGGCAGAGGAGTGAATGGCAGGGCCGGGAACCAGGCTGCCCAGGTTCGTATTCTGCTTATGCCACTTCCACACTTTGTGTGGCTTTGGGTGAGCCTTCACCTTTTGGTGCCTTGGTTTCCTCATGGGGAGAGCACCTCCCTCCTAGAGCTGTTCTGAGAGTCAAATGTGCAGAAGTTTATAAAGTGCTTCGCAAAGAGCCCTGTGTGTTTGCAGCTGTCACTGTGAAAGAGTTACACCTTGGGGGCCCGAGATCGGATGAAGCCACAGCGACGCTTTGGGTTGCGCATTAGAAAACCAGGGGGCTTCCATACTGCAGTCTTGAGTTCGGTCTCCCTGGGAAGGTGGGGCACTAGCCCCATACCTTGTTGCACGGATCAGATGGAGCGGAATCCCGGCTTCCCTCCGGACGGGCCTGGGGTCCATGCCCGCGGCTCACTGCCAAGATCTCTCTTGGCCCCTAGGGACACGAGTTTGTGATCCCTGAATCGCTGGGTGGGTACGTCGGAAAGACTAGGGTGCCTCAGCTCAGAGCCCGCAGTTTGATGGAGAGGACAGGACCAGCCGGGTAGGAGGGCGGCGCGCGCGAGGGTCGACTTCTTCCCAGGGCACCGGGGACGCGAGTGCTGCGGGTGCGCGCCGAGAGGACAGCCTTGGAAGCGGGCTAAGCTTCGGCAGAGACAGACATGAGGGGCTGCGGAGCTCGAGGGCCGGCGACCACGCTGGCCTCTGTAGGAGGTGGGCACACCCGAAAAGGAACCTGGGGCGTCAGAACGAAAGGCAGTGGCGCCGCGCTTCCCGGCCGGACAGCCTCCCGCGCAGCGCCCCGGCCGGAAGCCTCCTCGCCGCCGCTTCCTCTGCAGAAGTCGCGGGGCGGGCGGTGCGGCCTGCAGGGTGGCAGAGGTGGGAGTGGAACAGCCCCGGGGGCCTACTCGAGGCAGCGAGGCCGCGAGGAGCGCGGGGCTGGAGGGTAGGAGCGCGCAGGAGGGCGCCCCAGACGCCACTCACGGCGGATGGCGGCCAGTTCCCACGGGCCCCGAGCCGGGTGCGGAGGCATGGGGCGCCCGGGCGGGGGCGGGCTCTTAATAGGCGCCGCTGCGGGGACTGGAGTCGGCGGAGAAGCCGGGGTCCCCAGCGGTGGGGGTGGGTGAGGGTTGCGCATTTTCCCAGGGTGGTGACGGGTACCCGGCGCCGGAACCCCGGCCCCGCTTGAGCCACCGCTAGAGCCCGCCCGCGGCTGGCCTGCTGGGCCCTGGCTCAAGCACGTCCTTCCCGTCGCCAGCCCGTAGCGCCATGGCTCACATGGGCTCCCGCAAGCGCTCGAGGAGTCGCAGCCGGTCCCGGGGGCGGGGGTCGGAAAAGAGAAAGAAGAAGAGCAGGAAGGACGCCTCAAGGAACTGCTCGGCCTCCGAATCCCAAGGTCGCAAGGGCAGCGCGGCCCTCGGGGCGGAGGGTGAGGACCACCGGCATCGGGGAGAGGAGGCGTGGCCACTTCCCGGGGAAGTCGGGGCGAGCCGGGGTCTGGGCCTCTCAGGCTTGCCTCTGTGCAGCCAGGCCTGAGATACGAGGGCCGGGCGCCCCGGGAGCCGGGAAGGGACTCCTCTGGGAAGTTCCATCTCTGCTCTGGAAAGCCCCGCAGGAGGTGCTCACACTGTAGACGGCCTGCCCCAGGCCAGAGCAGGGGACGAAGGTTTGCTTCTTCCCCTCCCAGCCTTCCAGCCTCACCTTCTCCCTGCATCACAGAGAGAAGCAAGCACAAGGCCCGGAGGAGACCACGATCCAGCTCCTCCTCCTCTTCTTCCAGTACTTCTAGCTCTTCTTCCTCCTTGTCCTCCTCCTCTTCCTCCAGTGGTGGCCGGAAGAAGCGGGGGAAGCACAAGGACAAGAAGAGGAAGAAGAAGAAGAAGAAGAAGAAGAAGAGGAAGAAGCTGAAGAAGAAGGGCAAGGAAAAGGCGGAAGCACAGCAGGCGGAGGCTCTGCCGGGTCCCTCGCTGGACCAGTGGCACCGATCAGCTGGGGAGGAAGAGGATGGCCCAGGTACTGTGCAGCCCAGAGCCTGAGAGGGAGAAGGTCCCTCTTGGAGGCCTGGCCACCACCTCCATCTTTCCTTCCAGTCCTGACAGATGAGCAGAAGTCCCGAATCCAGGCCATGAAGCCCATGACCAAGGAGGAGTGGGATGCTCGGCAGAGCGTCATCCGCAAGGTGGTGGACCCCGAGACAGGACGCACCAGGTGGGCAGCCCTTGTTCTGACTTAACACCTTGGGGTCTGGCAGTGTTGGCCTAAGATGTGTGCGCTCAGGAGGAGCGGGGCTGGGACGGGGTTGCTGCTGCTTGAAAAAAGCCAAGTGTTGGCAAAAAGACACTTGTGATGTGTGTCTCAGCCCTTCTTCCCTGTTGCCCGGAATAAACAGTTGCAGAGGCTGGAAGGGCCTGGAGAACGCTCTTCAAAGGGCTGTTGTTGGCCGGGTTGAGGCTGGCAAGGCAGAGCCCACCTCAGCTGTTTTCATCCATGCCCAAGGATGATAGAGCAGGCAGGAACCCTGGGACCCCTATGCCAGCTGCTGCTGGTTCTGCTGCTCTGGCATTAGGGGACCTGCCTATTCCTTGCTGAATGGAGACCCTCCCACCCTCAGGCTTATTAAGGGAGATGGCGAGGTCCTAGAGGAAATCGTAACCAAAGAACGACACAAAGAGATCAACAAGGTGGGTGTGGCCCCTCTGCCTGCCCTCTACCCCCAGCTCTGTTTGTGATGTTCCCCTCCCCCTGTGTGCTTTTTTTCCCCCAGCAAGCCACCCGAGGGGACGGCCTGGCCTTCCAGATGCGAGCTGGGTTGCTGCCCTGAGGGCCCTGGCTGGCCAAGGCCTGTGGACAGTGCTGGCAGCCCGGCCTGGGCAGGCCTCAGGGTGGCAATGGGAAGCCTGATGGGTGCTGGTGGCCTTTCCCCCATGGATTGGCCTCTGGCCCAGCCCAGCCTCTTCTCAGGGGCAGGAGGTGGAGGATGGGGTTACTGGCCTGCTCAGCACCGCCATCTGAAAGAGCAGTGCTTCCCAGCTATTAAAGTCTCCCTGGTTTGAAACTCTCTCTGTTCTATGGCTTTTTGTACTGAGGGGGAGGGAAGGGTGGTATGTGACTTCCAAGGAAAAACAAGGGCTCCGTGAGCTTTTGGGGAAGGCTGAGGTGTTCTCTGGTTGTAGTAAGCACAGGTCACACAAGGGCCTGTGCTCTCCTCATCTTCAGGTCAGCGCGCCTGGACCAGACCCTATGCCAGCTGAACCCCAAACCCAGAGAGCTGGCTCTGAAATGTGATGCACTCAGGGTTGGAGAGAGACGGCTCCCCCTGCCATGTTCACAGATCACAACAGTGCAGAGACAAGTGTTGGGGCCAGGTGGCCTGTGTGGGAGGCCTGGCTCCCTCTGCCCAGCTCTGTCCTCCACTGAGGCAGGGAGGTTCACAGCACCCACTTCACTGGGGGTCTGTGAGGGCAAACTGAGTTGAAGCCCAGGAAGGAGTTAGAAGCAGGCTAGGCCCAGAGTCAGCCCCACACGAATATGTTGGGGTCACTGGCATTACTGTTGCATGCTCCCACCCCACCATGCCCCGTGGTCGCTAGTTCAGTAAACAGACCCAGAAGGAAGCCTTCCCGCTTCTTTAATTGGTGTAACAGACATGACGCTGTATACAGAGCACACTCGGGCCCAATGATGCGGGGACAGCAGGGGCGGGTGGGGAGAGTCAGGACGCCGCTCACACATGGCCCAGAGAGACATACAGCACACGGACAACGGGAGGGGCTGAGACGTGAAGGCTGTGATGGGGCAGGCAGCAGGACTCAAACCGAGCCAGGGAGGGGTAGGGGTCTCTGCTGAATCCCTCTTTAGAAATCAGAGAAGGCAGGTGGTGGGGCCTGGGGTGGCAGCGAGGCTTAGGCCTGGGGGTTGTGGTGGGAGTGGGACTAAGGCTTCTATTCTAACAGGCCTGGGGGTGGCAGTCAGCAAGGCCTGCCTCACCCTTTGGTTATGACTGGTCAGGCTTGAGCCCTGCAGCTCAGCACCCAACACTGTAAACATTTTTGGTATTTTTGAAGGACGCTGCCCTCCCTCTGTTAGTTTCGGAAAGACTGGTGCTTCCTCCAGAAGAGAATGTGCCGAAAGGAATCTGAAGGGAGGCGGAAAGCAGACCTGGATACAGAAGAGACTTCCTGTGGGGGGCGGGCTGCCCACCTTGCCATCTATGGCTGAGGGCCGCTGGGAGAGCCCCAGGGGACTATTGCTGTTGTCCTTGGCATGGCTGGCGGCTGGGCAGGCAGGCAGGCAGGGAGCAAGGAGTCACGGGGGAGCTGCCCCCTGGGGAGAGGCTGAGCTCACTGCCCACGGGGCCTCCCGGCCTTTATTGCAGGAGGGCCCGAGACTCTTCCAGGTGCTTCTCTGGATGGCTGGTCACCGAGGCAGCAGGCAAGACAGGGTGAGGTGGGGCTGAGAGAGGAGGAGGAGGCACTGGCCACAGGGCCCCTGACTGGGGCTGTGATTGTCGGGCCAAGCAACTTCTGGGCGGGGTCAGATATTGCACTTTCACTGCAACAGTTACATGAAAACTTGGTCCATAAAATAATTGTTGCTTTATACATAATGCTTGAAACGACAACAAAAACTACGTCTTAAATATGAATAAACCCTGAAGGTTCCGTCCCTCCAGACATTTTTCTCTGCACAAAATAAATAGCTTTCACTCTGTATAGACCCACTTTTGCAGAACATTTACACGACCCTTTGGCTGTACATATCTACACGTGGGAAAGAGTTTACAGCACTGTGCACCTCCCCAGCCCCGTCCACGTGGCCCGATGCTGGACCCAGGTCAGCCACAGCTTCTTGGGGACGGGCCCTGGTCACTGGACAAAGGCTGAGGCCAGGCAGGCTCTCCCACCTCAGGGAAAGTGGAGGAGCAGCAGAGGGGCCACTGGAGCTGGCTGTTGAGCGCCACAGCCGAGGTCACGCTCAGCGCTGCAGGGAGAGGGCAGGCGGTCAGACCCAGCGTGCAGGACAGCGTGGGCCTTGCTCAGGCAAGAAATGAAGTCGTGGCTGCCTGCCCTGAAGCTGACAAAGCAAGCTGTGGCTTCTTAGATTCGGCATCAAAACGGAATTGGCATTAAAAAAACCGAAGTGTGTGCCCCACCCACTCCAGAGTAGAAATTCAGTGGGATCGCCAGGGGCCAGTTGAGGCAAGGAGCCCATGCCTCGCTGAGTGGGCAGGGGCAGGGCCCATGGGACCCAGAACCAGGCTGGACTCCGTCACAGTGCTGGGTGTTTTCAATGTGGAGGGGCTGTGCTCGGTACTGAAAGAGTTAAGAAAAGGAAGCAGCCAAGGATTGCTCATTTAAAAAAACCTCATAGAAATCAGATTGAGAAGTAGAAAGGCGTAGAAACATGGGTGGATGGCCTTGACTGATGGCATGGAGCAGAAGAGGTGGCCAGGCCTGCCCAGCCCGTGGCCTGAGGCTGGCAACAACACTGGCCTAGGCTCCAGTTGGGGCAGGTGGGCAGGGTCCGGGGAGCAGAAATTAAGATACGGCCTTTCTCTCCTGCTTGCACGAGGCTCTGCTGCACTGGAGCCTTCCGTGTGGTTGTAGGTCCTGGGTCAGCAGGTACTGAGTTTCATGCATGTCAACGGGTCTGTAGCCACAGGAGGTGGTAATGGGTCTCTGCTCTCAAAATCAGTGCAAAACCAGTGAGGTTGAACAGTTGAGAAACTTGAGTTAACAAGACGCAGGCTGGACCCCTGTTGGAGCTGCTACCAAATGTGAGGGGACCTGGGAGTAAGGGTGGCCAGTGGATGGGGAGGTGGCAGGCTGGGCCTGGGCCCACACCTGGCACCAGGACACTTGGAGATCCACGCAGGACAAAGTGTCTGGGAGAGCCTCCCAGGCCAGTCTGAGTGGGGACTCCTGGTCCCTCTGCCATCCTGGGGCTGGCTGGTGGTCCCTGCCAGCTTCCATAACAAGCCGGACCCGTCAGACCCGAGGACGTGAGGCAAGGCTGGGAGCACTGTGTGGCATGGCCCATGTCCTCTGCGAGGCCCTGGGACAAGCTCCCAGGCCCACGTCTGCATGTGCGTGCGCCCAGGCCAGGCCTCCTGGCGGGGCTGGCCGCCCTGGCCTAGCACCATGGAGACCCCGTGCTGCACTCATGGTGCCCTACTTGGGGCCCGTGGCCGATCCCGGCTCCAGGCGGCCAGTGATGGCGCGGCCCCAGCAGCCAGCTGCCACGCTCATGCTGCGCTGGCCCCGCTGCTCGCCATCCGCCTGGCTCTGCGTCCGCTCGTGCCGGTGGCTGGGCCCACTGGGCTGGGCTGAGATGGTGCGGAGCAGGTGGTTCCGGGAGCGCAGAAAGTCACCCTGGCCGGGCAGGCCAAAGCTGCCCTTGCGTAGCGCCATGCGGGTGGCCGTGTTGCGGGCGGGCCGAGCCCGGTGGCTGTACTTCAGCTGCGCCAGGTGGGCGGCGTAGCCATCTGTGATGAACTGCAGGGGCAGTGAGGATGGCTGTCACGGGCTGGGGCTCCCTGAGCTTCCCGCCTGCACCCGTCCCCATGATGCGCCCACTCACCTGGCACTGCTGCTGCAGCTTCTTGGTGGGCCGGCCCACGATGTAGATCTGCATGGGGGACAGGCTGATGGCGCTGTAGACCGCCACGTCCTTGGTGGAGCCGTAGGCCGCGTGCACGCGCAGGTGCAGCTGTGGGGAGACCGGCATGGGCACAGGCACCATGGCCCCTCTGCCCCCACCCCTGCCCTGGTCCCATCCTTCTGGGCCCCACCTCAGAGATGAGCAGCTTCAAGAAGTTGGCCTTATGCCGCAGCGGGTCGTGGACCAGGCCATCACAGAAGGACACCACGCCATGGGGGAAGTTGTGCTGGGCCAACCACGCCACCACCCGCTGCTTCTGCATGTCCGGCCGTCCCGTCACGTAGATGATGAGGTAGCCCAGGTCCTGCCAGTGCCTGAAGGTGAGAGGCAGGCCTGGGTGTTTCACGGCTGCCCCTTCCTCCCTCCTGGGTGTCCCTGTCTCCTGCCCAGCCAGGGCCCACTTGGGCCATTGGAAAGCACATCTCTGATTAAGCTCAGACAGTCACAATGACAATGGTGACAATGATGGTGCCGTAGCAGGCCCTTGGGTGCTCGCACCGGGTGGCACATGCCCCTGCCACGGTGTCTCTGGCTTACCAGCCTCACTTTCCAGAAGTGGGAATTGAAAGCCGACACTGAGAGGTGACATCACTTGCCCAAGGTGACACGGCTAATAATTGGGGGTGCCGGGCTCTGAACTGAGGTCCTCAAGGCCCAGTGCTCTAGCCAAGCGTCTCCCAGAGAGGCTCCCCCGTCCTCCTCCACCTGGCTGGCGGGAGCCCCTGAGCTCACCCACCTTGCTACAGCTCCTTTGTGCCCCTCCAGGCCACTCACCGCACGACATCCACGGCCCCGGCCCGCACCTTGGGATCGCTGCCCATGATGGACACGCTGGCGGCAAAGGAGCCGTCGATGCTGAAGACCACAAACTCCGTGCCCTTGGGCAGCACGGTGATGTAGCTGTCAGCAAACGTGTGGTCTCCCCTGGCAGACGGTGGGGACACTCATCAGAACCAGCCAGAGCCCTGTCCTGCCCACCTCGCCCACCCAGCGCAGGCGCGTACCTGACTACCATCTTGATGGGATAGACACCCACGCCCAGGCGGTGCGACTCAGGGATGGTGTAGGAGACACGCCCGCTGCTGTTGGTCACCAGCGTGTCCAGGTAGAGCCACTCACCCGCAGGTGGCTGCGTCATGATGTGCACATCCACCTGGGCCCGGCAGGCTGGTCACGAGTTGGCCATGTGCTGGCCTCCCCACCCCTCGCACCCTGGCCAGAGGGCAGCAGGGAGCTCCCCAAAGTCCCCCTGTGTTCCCCCTACCCATGTCCTTACCTTCTCCCCAGTCAGGGTGACCATGTCCAGGGGCCCGTACATAAACCTGCCCGTCAGAACCTGGGGGCCATCCTCATTGGCAAGGGCGTCATTGATCCGGTGGTTGGCCGTCACGTTCTATG